TGAAATGTAATCTCTATCCCCTAGTTTCTTTTTTGTTTTGTTTTGTTTTTGAGACAGAGTCTCACTCTGTTGCCCAGGCTGGAGTGCAGTGGCGTGATCTTGGCTCACCACAACCTCCACCTTACCGGTTCAAGCGATTCTCCTGCCTCAGCCTTCCGAGTAGCTGGGACTACAGGCGCGTGCCACCATGCCTGGCTAATTTTTGTATTTTTAGTAGAGACGGGGTTTCACTGTGTTGGCCAGGCTGGTCTCAAACTCCTGACCTTGAGATCTGCCGGCCTCGGCCTCCCAAAGTGCAGGGATGACAGGTATGAGCCACTGCACCCAGCCTAAAGTATTTGTTTTGTATCTGGTTAACCTAATGCAATGTTGTTAATTCTTATACTCCAGTAGATTCTCTTGGCTTTTCTATTGAGACAGTTATCTACAATTTCATCTTTTCCTTACCAGTATTTTAGACTAGACATTCTCTTTCGTGTTGGATTATATTGGCTGCCATTTCCAAAACAATATTAGTAAAAGAGGCATTCTTGTTTGTGTTCTTTTAATGGGCATATCTCTAAAGTTTGAGGGTTAAATGTGACATTGGTTTCTAAATCGAAGTAGGTAGTTTATTTTTTTTTACTGTTTATTTTTTAAAATTCATAACAAAAGTAGGGACTCAATTAATGAACCCCCATGACCTCTGTCATCTGACTTAAATATTTTCACTCAGTCTTGTTTCATCTATATTGTGCTTTCCACCTATGTTGTGCTTTCCCCTCGCCTCATCTCCCAGTGATTTTGAAGCAAATTCTACATATTATTTAATTTTGTCTATGAAATGCTACATTTCAGCATATGTCTAACAAGAACTGGTTTTTAAAGTTATTATTATTATACTTTAAGTTCTGGGATACATGTGCAGAACATGCAGGTTTGTTGTATATAGATATACACGTGCCATGGTGGTTTGCTGCGCCCATCATCCTGTCATCTACATTAGGTATTTCTCCTAATGCTATCCCTCCCCTAGCTCCCCACCCCCGAGCAGGCCCTGGTGTGTGATGTTCCCCTCCCTATGTTCATGCATTCTCATTGAAGAACTGGTTTTAAAAAGGAAACTTCAATACAAAATAGATATATAACTATTAGGTACAAAGAATACAAAATTATTAGCAGATGTTATTAGCAGACCTTAGAGAGTTAACTAAAAGCAATTAACATCAAGGAGAGTTTAAAAGTAATTAAATGTGAAACAAGTAATAATAAACATTTATGTAACACTCTATGCTAATAATAACAAACCTTCATGTGAAACTCTGTGCTAAGCAGTCTTGTAAGAGACATCTATATATATATTTACTCATGTAGTCCTCACCACAACTCTTGTGAGATGAGACTGTTGTTTACATTTTACAGAAGATGAAACTGAAGCCCAGAGATAAGTAACTTACCCTAGAGTGTATTGTTAGGATAGAGTTGGGATTTGAGACCAAGAAGTTGAACTCTAGTCCATGCTCTTAACTTTTACCTTAGGCTGCCCCTTGTCTACACATCAGTATCTTTCCTCTACATGCAAGCAATACTAAGTTTGCAAACAAGACAGAAAAAGTTCATATTTATTCACAAAAAAGCAAGAAAAAGCCTTATAAATCAATTTAGTAAGATAGATAAAAGTCATCTGAAGAAACCCTCAAAACCTTACTAAGAGAGAGAAAATGGACAAATAGAAATGCTATGTTGCTAGCTGTGTTGTAAAGATATAAAATCTTGCAGATTGATCTGCAAATACAAATATGACAAAATAACAATGGGATGGTTTGAGTCTTAGCTCATCTTCCTTTTTTCACTTCACGTATTTTTGTGTTAATTTTTTAAGATATTCAGAAAATGGGCTGGGTATAGTGGCTCACACCTGTAATCCCAGCACTTTGGAAGGCCAAGGCGGACAGATCACGAGGTCAGGAGTTTGAGACCAGCCTGGGCAACATGGTGAAACCCTGTCTCTACTAAAAAAAAAATACAAAAATTAGCCAGACATGGTGGTGTGCCACCTGTAATCCCAGCTACTTGAGAGTCTGAGGTAGGAGAATCACTAGACCCTGAGAGGCAGAGGCTGCAGTGAGCCAAGATTGCCCCACTGCACTCCAGCCTGGGCAACAGAGTAAGACTCCATCTCAAAAAAAAAAAGATATTCAGAAAATACAACATAAGTACTATGTAATTTAAAACTGACTTTGTCTATCTGTCTTCTGTTTGGTCTTTTTTTTTTGCTTTCAAAATGAACAAGGTGGTAATGTTTACTTCCAGGAACCCATACATCCTGACTTAACCTGAATGTTACAGGGACTTTAGAAGAGTTACCACTTCCGGGCAGTGGCTCTTGCCTATAATCCCAGCACTTTGGGAAGCCAATGCAGGAGGGTCATTTGAGCCCAGGAGTTCAAGACTAGCCTGGGCAACATGGCGAAACCCTATCTCTACAAAAAATGTAAAAATTAGCTGGCCGTGGTGGCACAAGCCTGTAGTTCCAGCTACTCAGGAGGCTGAGGCAGGAAGGATCGCTTAAGCCCCGGAGACAGAGGTTGCTGTGAACTGAGATTATGCTGCTGCACTCCAGCCTCAGCAACAAAGTCAGATTGTGTCTCGGAAAAAAAAAAAAAAAGAATTACCACTCAGGAACATTCTAGAAAGATGCCCATCTAACCTAAAGATTTATCTATCAACTCTCTGGGGAAGAGCTGAGACCAAAGTTCCATATTAAGGTCCTGTTTATTGGCCAGGAATTGGGTAAGGGCTCAAGATACAGTGAAGAGCAAGAAGGTTATGAATCTATTTAAATACCGGAAGACAAAAATAAGAGTCACTAGAGGGTAGAAGGGCATGATCTGTCTCTAGGATGTCAGGGGAGAGGGACATTCCTTGGCAGGGAAGAGGAAAGTTCCCAGGGTTCAAATAGGCAGGTGTCTCTGGTGCTACTTAGTGTGACCCTTCAGATTATAACTCTGGTCTCTTGTATCACATCTAATGATTAATTTTTAAAATCTCAATTAACATTATCATCATCATCATAGCCATTCATCTCCAAAGATAGCAACGACCCATTCTGAAAACTCTTTCTTTGTTTCCAGGAGTTTACTATGTTGGTTCTTTCTCTGCGTTATCAGTCCTTTTCTGTCTCCTTTGCTTGATCGCTCCTGTAAATATTGGAGGGACCCAGGAATCAGGTGGCAGTCTGTTCCTTTGCCTTATTTTCATCCACTCTCCTTGGGGTTGACATTACAGGCCTAGGTTGCTCAAACCCTGTAAGTTCCCATGAAAGTCCTGTTTTCCTGACTAGCCTTTGGGCAGCTCTGGGAACTGATCTCTCATAACATTTTATCTGGTAAGAGTACTTTTCCGTGCCTGAGGCTTGAGCCTTGCTGTACCAGTGTGTCCAGATGGTTTATACTAATAATGTGATTTATGGGGGAACATCTACTTTGCTTCTAGGAGTCTGTAACTTCAGTGGCTGACCCTCTACAAAAACTGTGGACACCCAGGTTTAGGTGACCTTCCCTTGATGGCAATGCTTCACACATGTTGTCATACATCATTGCTGGGGGATTTTTCATGTGCTGTGGTTTGAATATTTGTCTCCTCCAAAACTCATGTTGAAACATAATCCTCTATGTGGCAATATTGAGAGATGGGGGCTTTTAAGAGGTGATTGTCTCAGGAGGGCTTTGCCCTCATGAATGGATTAATCCATTCATGGACTAATGGATTAATGGGTTATCATGGGAGTGGAACTGGTAGCTTCATAACAAAAGGAAGAGAAACCTGAGCTAACATGTTAGCACACTCAGTCCCCTTGGCAGGTGATTCCCTGCACCACTTCAGGACTCTACAGAGAGTCCCACCAGCAAGAAGGCTCTGACCAGATGCCACCCCTTGACCTTGACTTCCAAGCCTCCATAACTGTAAGAAATAAATTGCCCTTCATTATAAATAAGTAAACAGAACTTTCTGTTGCCTATAACAATATCTAAATCTGGGTAATTTGTTTTAAAAGGGCAATTTATTTCTTACAGTTCTCCGCTGAAAGAGAACACTTGGAAGCTTGTGCAGGGGTATCCTTCAGACTTCACCCCATGAACCCTTTCCTTTTGCTGATTTTATTCTTCATCTTTTGCTGTAATAAACTATAATCATGAGTATAGCAATCGGGTCCTGTGAATTCTTCTAGAAAATCATTGAGCATGAGGTGGTCTTGGGGACTTCCCTAACAGAGGAATTCATCCAGCCCTAGAACTTTAAATCCCAATGACAGCTCTCAAATGTGTATCTCTAGCCATCAGCCATCTAGACTTTTATGAACAATTGCCTACTTGATTCTCCAGCTGATTCTTGAGATGTCTAAATTCTTGACATGAAACAAATTCTTAATTTCTCTCCTTATCCCAAAGTTGCTTAGAAAGTGACCTGCCAATCATCCAGTTGCCCTGGCAAGAAACCATGGAGATATCTTTGTCTCCTCACTTTCTTTACCTTCAGAAAATCTCATTCTGACTCTCTCCACCCCTGCACTTCTCAGGATTCTAAGCATTTCATGCCTACCTCTCCTCAGGAGCCTCAGTCCCTCACTTTACTACGTGTTTTCTCCTGTTCTTAAGAGGTCTTAATTTCTTAAGGGCTCCTTATCTTTATTCTCTACCATGATTTAAAAAGACACTTCTTTGACTCCTGTCTTTGTCTCTGCTCCTCTCTGGCTGACTCAGACTCACTCTTCTCCCTGGAGTCAGTGTCCACCAATGGTGTTTGCTCATCCTCAACCTACGACTATGGTATCCTAAGCTGATGAGTCTCAAACCTTGGCCCTCGAATTCTAGATCTGAACGCTGTCATTTTTACCCTGTTACTATTTTTTTGGAAAAAAAAAAAAAAAAAAAATCTAAGACTCTGTGGGAGCCAGGGCCTGACCAACCCATTGCAGTAGAACATCTACAAGGTCTACAGAGATGACAAAGAATGACTATGTTATAATATACACTTAATAAATGTCATTAAATATATGACCAAGCGTGGTTTCTCTAGGACTCCTGGAGAAAAGATCTCTGCTTCCATTAGACCAAGGGATTGATTTGGGCGTAAGTGTTGGGCTCTGGATTCACAAGCTCCTGTTAAACAAAAAGAAAATGTGAGCTCCATTTGCTGGGTGGACCCTCCCAGTCTACTCACTATAGTCTGGGTACCAAACAGCCTGGCACTTTCCTTTCTTTGGAAATTCCAAAGATCCTCCCTTCTCATCACACTTTAGTCACACTGGTACCTCTCTGTTCCTGGTATGACCCATCTACTTCCCCATTGTGGTAAACAGACTCTAAAATGTTCCTCATAATCCCTCTCTCCAGGTATTCATTCCCTTATGTAATCTCTTCCCCTTGAGGGCAAGACCTGTGACTTGCGTCTAATCAACAGAATATGGCAAAGGTGGCAAGATAGACGTGATTGCATGTATGTGATGCTATTACATAAGTTTATGACTTCTGTCTTGGCTTTGAAGAAGCAAGATGCAATGTTGTGCACTGCCTATGGAAGGGGCCACATGGCAAAACTGAGGATGACCTCCAGCTGTCATTAAGAAACTGAGGCTCTCATTATGACAGTCTGCAAGGAACTGAATGCTGCTAATAACCATGTGAGCTTGGAAGTAAATCCATCACCAGTTGAGCCTCAAATGAGACCTGAGCTTTGACTGACATCTTGATTATATAGCCTTGCGGAAGACCTGTCTAAGCAATGCCTGAACTCCTGACCCACAGAAACTGTGAGATAATAAATTAATGTTTTAAGCTGCAAAGTCTGTGGTAATTCATTACACAGCAACTGACAACCCTACACCCACTACAGGGCCTTTCTTCCTGATGCCTTTCAACTTGTAATGTATCCCTCCATACTGTTTGCGTGGCTTGCTCCTTTTAATCCCTCTGTAATGTAGCAGAGACTGAGTTAACTTACCTAATGCTCTTCCCCACACCACTTCCCTTGCTTGTTTCTACTGAAGAGACTGGGAATGTTAATATGTCACTTTCTCAGCTTCTGTTGCAACAAGGAGCACCATATAACCTTATTCTGGCTAATGAGATATAAGAGGAAGCTTACTGGGTGGGATTTCTGGGAAGACCTTTTGCCCTACTAATAATAGGGAACAAACATGGCTCCCCTACCCAGATACTGGTGAAGAGAGGGACTAGGTGGCTAAGTTTTTATCAGTTCAAAGCTGATTAGAGAGCTGACCAACCTAAATGTGTTCCATACCATAGCCTGAACCAACTTGATTCTCCTATGGAGAATTTAACCTAGAAATGCTTAAAGGGCAGCAGAAGATATTATATGTAATCTGAAGTTATAAAGAAGCAATGATCAGGAGACTTACATAGGAATTCAATCTGGATTGAGAAGAATGAAATGAATTCATAGATGTGAAAATGAGAAACTTTATAATAAGAGAGAAACAGCTTCTTGATAGCATTCGAGTCCCCAAGAAGCCCAGGAGTAATTTCTGAAATTGAGTTATCTGAAATCTCTCAGTGTTCTCTCAATTAACCCCCATTTGAACTACATTCCAAAGGTTTAACTTTCTTAACATTAAAAATTCTTGACTAAGATATTACTGTATGAGACATTCAGCCAGGTGCAGTGGCTCATATCTGTAATCCCAACGCTCTGGAAGGCCAAGGTGGGATGATTGCTTGAGCCCAGGAATCTGAGGCTGCCATTGGCCATGATGGCACTACTGCACACAACCTGGGCGAAAGAGCAATACCTTGTCTCAAAAAAATTAAAAGGTATATAAGATATTCAGATTTTTCAAGAATAGTTCATCTGTTAGGCTAAAATCTACCCTTCCCTTACTTATCCTCCATGGTAATTTATCTGCCCTCTGGAACAACAAGGAACCCATTTATCCTGCTACCCAAAGCCTGTTAGACACTAAAATATTGGAGTCCTCTGTCCCTAAACTTTTTCTTTTCTAAACTCACTCTGTCAGTAGGACATGGATTTCAGCCCCTGTTCTGGCCTCTCTCTTATTACTTCTCTGGATAAACTCTGACTGGTCACAGACTTGCTCAGAATATAGAATTATTTAAAGTCCATTCTTGGAAATGGGGTAATCTGGCTAGTCCTGATGACAGGGTTGTGATCACTTGAATTCTCTAAAGTAATTCTACTAGTCCTTAGAACTATGGAGCTATCACCTGATTGCTCTGAACTTGTTTTGGGAATCTTTGCTTATGCCTGGATGAACTAATAGTCATTTCCTCCTCCTCCTCCTCCTCCTCCTCCTCCTCCTCCTCCTCCTCCTCCTCCACCTCCTCCTTTCTCTCCCCCCCTTCCTCCCTTCCTTTCTTCCTTTTTCTCTCCCTCTCTTCTCTTCTCTTCTCTTTCTCTTCTCTTCTCTTTTCTTTCTTTCTTTTTCTTTTTCTCCTTCCTTCCTTCCTTCCTTCCTTCCTTCCTTCCTTCCTTCCTCCTTTCCTTTCCTTTTCTCATTTCTCTTTTCTTTTTTTTCTTTTTGAGACAGGGTCTTACTCCATTGCCCAGGATGGAGTGCAGTGGCTCAATCTAAGCTCACTGCAACCTCTACCTTCTACATTCAAGTGATTTTCCTGCCTTAGCCTCCTGAGTACCTGGGATTACAGGTGCCTGCCACCATGCCCAGCTAAATTTTGCATTTTTAGTAGAGACGGGGTTTTACCATGTTGGCCAGGCTGGTCTCAAACTCCTGACCTTGAGTGATCTGCCCATCTCTACCTCCCAGAATGCTGAGATTACATGCATTCGTGCCTGGCCCAGTTTTCTTCTTTTTGAATGATGTAACTAATCATACCTCTCTGTTTTATTGTTACCAGGAAGCTTAGAAACACATAAGAGATATAGGGGCAGATATCATGTAAGCCTTGCATATATTTTTAGTTTTTACCCATATCTTGACTTCTTGCTATTGTTAAAAACATTTTTATTGTGATTTCTGTTTCTAACTTAACATCATTTTGTAGTGTTGTGCATAAACTGCTTTAAATCTCCCATGGGAAAAATGTGGGGAAGTAAATATGAATGAAATGAAAGCTTGCAAAGGAAAGGAAATGAATGAAAAGGAATAGACTGTTTAGGAATACAACTGAAAGAGATGGCAAAGGCATAAATGGAATGGAGGGAAATTGAGTAGAACAAAAAGGAATACAATAAAAATTAAAGACAGAGAATGGAGTGAAATAAAATGGCATGATTTCCAAAGAAATGCAAGGGAAAAAAATTGAATGGAAAGGAAAATTGTAGTGGAAATAAATAAAATAAAATGGAGTGGGAAGGAGAGTAATAAAATAAGGTAATGAGGGGAAAGAAGTGGAAAGGAAATGACAGAAAAGTAATATAGTAGAGGGAAAGTATAACATTAAAGAATAAAAATAAACAATTTTTGAAAACAGAAAAGAGGTGGAATGGAATACAAAATAATGAAACTAAAATCAATGTCATGAAGATTAGGAAATGCAAAAGACTGGAAAGGAGTGAGATGGAATGACTTGAAAAGAACTTAAATGGGAAGCTTGAAAAGACAAGTAATAAAGACAAGGGAATGAAGTGCCATAAAAGGCATGAAGGGAGAGGATGGAAGTGAAAAAACATGGAGTAGGATTGAGTGGAATAGAATAGAGTGAAATGGATTGGAAGGAAATGAAAAGGAAAAGGAAATGAAGACCACAGAGAGAAGGGAATGGAAAACAGTGAAATAGAACTGAATGAAAGGGGAAGGGATGGAGAAAAAGTGAATGAAAAAGAAAAAAGGAAATGGGAAAAAAAGTGAATGGAAAAGAAACAATAAAAGCTGGCATGCGGTGGAATGAAATGAAAACCAATCAAATGGAAATGAATGTAAATAGGGACATTGACTAGGAAGGAATGGAGAGGTAGGAAATAGAATGGATAAAATGGATTAAATATGTGGATGGAAATAAGAGGAATGCAATGGGATGGGAAAAATAAGAATGGAAATTAAATAAAATGGTGGGATGGAAATTGAGAAGCTGGAATAAAATAGAGTATAATGGAATGTAAAATAAATGAATTGAAAGGAATTAAAAGAAAAAATGGATAAAAGTAATAGAAATGGAAAAGAACGAAAAGGAATGAAATAAGAGATGGAAAGGAGTGTAATGGGATCAAACAGAGTTGAGTGGGATGGAATGAAAAGGCATGGAATGAACCAGGCCCGGTGGCTTCACTCCTGTAATCCCAGCACTTTGGGAGGCCAAGGTGGGCAGATCAGTTGAGGTCAGGAGTTTGAGAACAGCCTGGCCAACATAGTGAAACCCTGTCTCTACCAAAAAATACAAAAATTAGCTGGGCGTGATGGCTGATGCCTGTAGTTCCAGCTACTTGGTAGGCTGAAGTAGGAGAATCCCTTGAACTGGAAGGTGAAGGTTGCAGTGATCAGAGATTGAGCCACTGCACTCCAGCCTGGATGATGGAGGAAGACCCTGTCTCAAAAAATAGAAGAAGGAAGAGAGGGAGGGAGAGGAGGGGAGGGGGAAAGAAAGAGAAAGAAAGAAAGGGAAAGAAAAAGGAAGACGAAAAGGAAGGAAGGAGAGAAAAGAAAAGGCATGGAATGGAGTAGAGTGAACGGGAAGAGATGGGATGGGCGGAAATAGAGTGGAATGGAAAGAAAATGGCAGAGTGAAGTGATACAGAAATACAGAAGCTGAATAAAGCTAAATGGATCGAAAGGAAATGGATGGAGTGAAACATGGAATGCAATTAAATGGAGTGCACTGGAAAGGAATGAAGTAAAACTAAGTAGAAAATGACAAGATGGAAATGGATAGGATGGAATTGAGATTTTTTAAAGGGAATTGTTTTTCATAGTTCATCCTACAGACTCTTTAGTAGGGAAGAAAAAGCAAATTGGTGACAGATTTCCACCTGCCCAAAGACTCAATGTGGCATAAACATACCTTATAGACTGACTCCATGTTACTCTTTGGCTGAGTGGAGAGCAATCTGAGTGGGGGCATCAGAGCTTTGGGTGGTGGCTTCCAGGGGCTGAAAGAATTGCCTCCAGGGCTTTCTGAAGGCAGCTTCGTCTGCAAGTAAGCAGAGAAATCAGGTAGGGCCCGCAAACACAGATTGCCAGGAATGTACCAACTTACAGTCTTCAGAGACCCAGAGAGTGGAAGGAATCTGTTCAGGTTCTTGCACAGAGTCAGAGGTGGAAGCAGAGTTAGAATACAGGCTCTGCCCCTGGCCCAGGACTCTCCTTTTTCCTGCTGGCTCTGCAACCCCTACTCCCAGCCTCCTTTTCACCCCAGCATATGCTGTTCCAGTACCACTTCATTGGCAATCCAATTCCTAGCCCTGGGGTGGAAGGAACAAAAGAGGATCCAGGGTCTTGGCATCTGACCCAGCTCCCTGTGAGGCCCTAGGCTACTCTCTTCCCATCCCTGTCCCTGTGATGTTCAATGAAAGGTTTAGACAAGATGATCTCTCAGGATTGTCACATATAAACTCAGATTGTATTTCCTCTATAGATTCTTTAATCAAACCCAGCAGGGGCAGTGTACCTCATAGGTCTTCTCTGGAGGGTCTGGTGGTTGCATCTGGGGAAAAACAAAGTTGCAGAGAGGTCATTGGGCTTGGAATAGGGGCTACCCCAAGAGATTCTCAGAAATAGCTTTGGCCTCAGAGGCAGCTGTAGCCCTTGTGACTTCCAGGGGCCTCAAAGCTAGGGATTATCATGTCAAAGAGTAAGAAGACGAGGAGAAGAGATGAAAAAACCCAGGAGGGTCTTGAGATCCTCAGAGAAGTCAGGGAAGGAGATGCAGAGAGACTTGACCTGGCACTGGGTTTTCTCAAGAGATCATGCCAGCTCCCACCCTAAGAGGTAGGACTATAGCAGCCTGGTCGGGGGACCAAGGAAGATCCCTTTGCAGCATAACTCACCTTTTCAACTCTGCTGCATCCCTGGAGCTGGGACATGTTGCAATACTCAGGCCTCAGGCTTTCTAGGAAAAGTGAATCTCAGTCAGGAGCTGGAGTCAGAAAGAGATATGGGACAAGGGGCTGTTTTTCCAGGACCCCTGTCCCCAGGAAGGAAGTGCAGAAATCTTCCTTCCCAGGAATCCCTGTCACATTTCCAGTGAGCCTGTCTTGGGAATGTCCTGGAAATCAGGTTCTGGGTTAGGAAGGCTGTATGGTGACACAGATGGGGGGGAAATCTAAGTTTTAGTCCCAGTTTTGACACTGGGTCCTCTGTAGCCTGGGTTTAGCCCTTCCTCCCTCATGGCCTTGGTTTTCCTCTCTGGGGCTGGATTGAACAGTTTCTAGAAAACCTTCCATATCAAAAGGCTTATCCTTCCAGAACCCCAGATGCAGAGATGGCAAATATGTATCATTTTGTCTTTGGTCAACTCTAACCCATCAGTAGAGGGCACTTGAGGCACTATGTTGAGATATGTTATGAGACTGGATTTGGATTCAACAGGAAGGAGCGTTGTGATTGATTCGCTCTGTGTACAACAATCAATTAACAATGTTTTCTAAGATTGAGAAAGGAGAGAATTTCAGCATGATGTCCTGCTTTTGCCATGACTGTTGGAACAGGCAGAACCCATCAGAGGGCTTGACTCCAATCTCATCCATATTCCAGATGGGAACGCAGAGGCTTAGAGTAGACAGGGTTTGCCCTGATCATACAGTGACCTGGTGGCAGAGCTGGGAGCCCCCAGCACCAGCCTCTTCCCCAACCCTCACCCCTGCCCCAGGCATCAGCCATAGAGTCACTTACTGGAACTGGGCTCTGTAGGGTGCTCCTCCTTAGGGGTGGGTTGTGAAGTCTCATGAATGGGGTCATCTGTTGTTTTCCTTGAGGGCCTGAAACCCCAAAGCCCTCATTGTTCTGTGCCTCTAGTCCTTACCCATCTCCACAGGTTCCGCCCATATCCTATGTCCATTCTTGGACAATGCCCGCAACCCTCTGAATTCCCCAGGTGCCAGACACTACTCAGCACCATGGTCAGCAACAAGCCCGGTAGGCGCGCCTCCTCTTGGCCACGCCCCCATTCCCCTCCCTGTGTCCCTGTATTACCGTCTGGCATTTCTGATGTAGAGAAAATAGACCATTTCTGTGGCCAGAGCAATGACAGCCAGGATCCCGATGACAATACCAGCGATGGCCCCTGAGGACAGGGAGGTGGACTGGGGACCTGGGCAAGGAGAGAGAATCAAGACCCAGGCGTGACACACCCTCATCCCTGCCCCCAGCCCATTCCCAATCTTGCAGCTTTTTCTCTGCTGACATTTTGTGAGCACTTGTTTTCCAGTCTTTGGGAGGCATAAGATTGTGATTTTTTGTCTTTGCTTTTTTTTTTTTTTTTTTTTTTTTTTTTCCTGAGACAGGGTCTCACTCTGTCACCCAGACTGAAGTGGCGCAACCTCGGCTCACTGCAACCTCCGCCCCCAGGTTCAAACGATCCTCCCACCTCAGCCTCTCTGAGTAGCTGGGACTACAGGCACTCGCCACCATGCCAGGCTAATTTTTTGTATTCTTTGGTAGAGACAGGGTTTCACCATGTTGCCCAGGCTGGTCTGGAACTCTCGACCTCAGATGATCTGCCCACCTCGGCCTCCCAAAGCGCTGGGATTACAGGCATGAGCCACCGCGCCCGGCCTCAGTCAGTGGTATTAAGAGCATCATTTATAAACGGAAATATCCAGTTTCTGGGTCCAAATTTCAGCTGTGTGACTTTGAGCATGTTACTTAACCTCTCTATGCTTCAGTTGTCTCTTTTGTAAAATGGGAACAATAGGCATTATAGGGTTTTTTGGAAAGATTATATGTATTCATGTTCTATATATATAGTGTTTGTTTGGAATCATGGAAAATGATCAGTAGATATTGGCCATGATTATGACGCCAATTAGGATAATGGATCAAATATGGCTTTGCCTTTCACCCCTCCCAGATAGGAGGCACAGACCAGAGAAAAGAGCTTTGCCAACCGGAAACCTGGCTTTCACTCAGAGCCCCTTGACTCACTGGGGCCGTGTGATCCTGGACAAGTGAATTCATTTCTAAGTCTCATTTTTTCATCTGTAAATAGCACAGAATGTTTGCAAAGATGAGATGAAATCATGAATGTTAACACCTGGCACATAGTAGGTGATTAATAAATGACCATTGCTTTCATTAATATTGGCCTGCTGTTTGCCCATCTCACTTCTGCCTGAACCTTTCTCAAAAGGGTGAAATCGCCACTGGAATTAAGGACACAGCTACAAGGGTCAGGAGTGTGAGGAAGGAGTTCTGCTTTGGAGGGGGAGGAGGGAACTTCTTAGGGTGCTTCAGGGCTTCTTAGTTTTATTCTCTGCATCTCCCTTCCTTTCTCTCCCTCCC